TTATTTTTGAGTATAATAGGTTTTTAAGAATTTTAATTAATTACTATTAATTATTATATATATATACTTTTATATATGGCAACTAATAGTAATTATATTTAGGTAGCTTATTTTAGGATAAAAGATATTTTTAAATTTTTTAAGCAAAAGAGAGGTAGCTTATTTTCGAAGATAGCTTATTATAAAGAAAATACAGTATTTAAAATCTAAATATTAAATTCTAATATAACTAAAAAATTCAAATATACTATACTTGATTACTATCAGAATTTCAATAATACTAAAATTCTAACAGTATAAGAATTTTAATAGTTTTAAAATTCTGATATTATCAAAACTTTGACAATATCAGAATTAAAATTGTATCAAAATTTTAATATTACTAGAATTTCTAATACTATTAAAATTTTAATATTACTAGAATCTCAACAATACTAAAATATTAATAGTACTAAATTTTAATAATACTAGAATTTTAACAGTACTAGAATTTTAATATTGTTAGAATCCTAAAGGTTTAAAATTTTAACACTATAAAAATTTTAGCAATATTCAAATTATAATAAATCTAATATCTTGACAATATAAAAAGCTTAACAATACCAAAACTCCGACTTTACTAGAATTCTGATACTACTAGAATTTTAATACTATTAGAATTTTGATACTATTAAAATTTTGATACTGCTAGAATTTTAAAAATATTATAATATATATTTAGTAAATTGGCTACTTGTATCTAGAGATACTATGTACAATTTATTACTTTTAAATATTTTAAAATACTAGTTTTACTAATAGCAAAATTTTTTGATCAAAAATAGATAATTGCTATTTATATATAGTCAGATCTCCCTAAATGCAACCTCCATAAATGCAATATCTCCCTAAATGCACATTTTTGTCTTGGCTATATGAAATCATTAGTGCTAAATACACATTCTATATTCTGCAAATGCATGTTTACTCAAAAGATTTGTATATCATACTAACCTCTATAAGTGCATGTAGCCAATCAGAAGTTAGTATTTAAATTTGTTACACAAATCTGCAGATCAAATATTAAAAGCTGCAATTTGATTGGCTCCCTCTAAATGCAAACCCCCCTAAATGCATGTTTTAGGCTGGTCTGTACATGTTGTATTTATGGAAGTTTGACTGTATTACTATATTTTTTTTAAAATAATTGCTAAAAATTATAATAGTTTATTATATTTGCAATTTTATAATAGTTACTATATATTGGCTAAAAGTTAATTTTTTAGAAAAATAATATTTTTATAGAAAATAGCTTTTGAAAACTTAAGTTATAGTATATTAAAAATTATATTTAGTTAAATTTTTTTAAATATTTAAGTTAAAGTTATACTTTTTACTTTATTAAAATTTACTTGAACTTCTTTATAAAAAGAAATTATATATAAACTCTATATCTAAAGAATAGCAAGAATAGAAGCTTAGACTACTTTATTTGTAATCTAAACCTACTAGAGTAGTTATAGTTTATCTAGAATAATATAATCTAATTAGATAAGCTATGGCTTATCTAGATTTGTCAATATCTGAATTGTGTTCATATATGAAGTCTATTAGAAATTAGGGTTTTTCTCCTGCTATTTTGTGAATAATTTGATAAAAACTAGCTTTAAAAGCTTTATAGTTTGTTGTTGCTATTTTAATCTTTTTGTTTGAGTAGAAGTCAAAAAGATATAGTTTAAAAAAATAGAAAGTTTTTGAGCAAGTTCTGTTTGAAAGTTTGTATTCTTTTTATTTCTTTTGAAACTGAGAAGTTAGCTAGCCAATCAAATGTTGGTTTGATTTGGTCTGCAATTAGATTTTGGTTATTAGCTTGCTGAGATTGTTGTGAAGATTGTTGGTATGTGTTTTCAGTTAATAGTTGTTGTTGTTTAGAAGTATTTTCTTGATATAAAGAGGGTATCTGTTAAAGTATTAAATTTAGTTTTTGTTGGTTTGAAGAAGTATTTAGGTCTTGTTAAGAATTACTAGTACTAGTATGAATAGTATTAGAATTAATAGTTAGCTATTGCTATTGAGTCTGTTATTGCTGTATTGACTGCTAGGTTGTTGTTGTTGGGTATTAGAAGTTTAAATAAGAGTAGATTTGGGTTGTTCTAGGTGTTTAATATAAGGTTGAAAATATTGTAATAGTGATAATTATCAAAATAGTTGGTATTAAAGGGTATTAGATATTTGAGTTAACTTAAATTTTGTTAATTCTAACTGTTCTATATGAGTTAGTTCATAATAATAGTGGGTCATCTTCAGGTTAC